AAAGCAAAAAGATTATATTGCGTTTCGGAAGAACAAAATTCAATAATAATAATAAGAGTAAAAATAATTATTAAATCGGATTTGAATGCCGAAGAAAACTCAATTTCTCACTACACCGCAGCCAATTGCACCACTCCTTTGTTTCTAGACGCTTAGGGTGCCCTTTAAGCACGCCACGGCTCAATAGCGTTTCAGCGCTTGCACTGCATAGGACGCAGGACCGCATCTCGAACAAGAAGTACTGCACGATCCGTAGAAGAAAGAGCGACAGAATGGAACCCCGATGTTCTGGAGAGCTATCAATACCGCTGTTGAATATATCACGGTCTAGTATAAAATTCAGTAATTGCTTTGATAATTTTTTTGACGCTATATACATGGCCAGCCTAAACCATCGAATTTCCCTACTGTGCATGTTCGCTACATCTTTCCTCTCTTCAGCTAAGTCCAATATGCAAGGAACCTCATCTCTGCCTATTCAGAACGTCAGGGTGTCTCGCTGGCAGATCAAACGCAAGTCCACGAAAGATAGGTTAAGCATTTTCAACTGTTGCGCGACATTTGTTTTTGACGATCCCCTTTCGACGGATAATTTCCTGATAATACTACGATTAATGCTGATCAACTTCCAAAGTAAAAATCAAAAATGCCTCGTAATACTTCAAGATGAAAACGTTCCACGACGAATCCGAATCCAAAGGAATAATTTATCAATTGCTAACTCCAAACGGTTCTCTGGAAAATGGAACTATCAGGCAAGTGTTCCCATATTGCAAATGTTTTGTGCGATCACTAACGTAAAATATCGTGCTATTGCCCTGCTGTTTACTACCGGAAACTGTTCTCCTGACAGATCCCAGAAAGGATGAGGTAGGCTCTTAGAGGGACGCCGCCAAAATCAAGTAGGCTTCCGAATGGGACACGCTCTCCCTGGCAAACTTTTCACTCTTTGTACGACCGTTGATCAACACCGATGATTCTGGTTTCCTCATTGGACAGCTCCATCCATGGCTTATTCCTAAGCATGGCAGCAACGGTTCTAAGTCGAGACCCAATTTGTGCAGCCAAATGGATGGAACCAGTTGCCAGCGCGTGTAATGCGCCAATTCGTTTCTCGAATTTCGTGATTTGCACTGGTTAACGATGTCGTCGACTGTCGACTGTTTGGTCTGGGTAACCGCAGTCGTACACTACAGTTTTTTGCAGCCTCACTTATGCGGGTGGTGCTCCGCCCTGGTGGGTCTATGTTTAGGGGCCAGTGGGACTTGGGAGGAATTCTTGTCGGATCGTCGATTAGCCGTTTGTCCGGCACGTTGCAATTTTGCCACATTTTCCTCCATTCATCATTGGCGTTAAGTCGTGCGCGGTTTTCCAGTATGGTTTTCGAGGTTTGAGTCTTGCCGCATGATAGTTCTTGAGGTTTTGGTGAACAGGTAAGTTTGGTTCACACTGAATTTTGTGATACTCTCTTAGGCAACTCTGGCGCCTCTCTATATCGCGTGGATTTATCTTTGAGAGAACTGGTAACCAGGGTAATGAGGTAATGCAGGCAGTATCTTTTATGACCTTGATGATGTTGTTGAGGATGACATCAAGGTTTCCTGTATGGCTGCTTTGCAGCCATGCTGACGTACTGTACTCCGCTGTACAGTATATAATACCGAGAGCTGCTGCTCACGAGGAGTAGGTGCCGACCTTCAGCTTGCTCCTGCTTCTGCACGATGTTGCCCTGAGCCTTAGTCTTGGCACAGTCCTTCGAAAATGTTCTCAGAATGTGAGGCTGCGGTACAAGTTATTTCCGGCTGGCTTCGTTTCTGACTCGATCTTCACAGATTGATATTTAGAGGGTACATTTTGCCCGAAAGATTGGGTGGAGGCGGCAGCGTTCGCAATAATCACCCATTGTCATCAGATCGGCAGTTAGGGTTCGGCCGATCTGGTCGAGCCTCCTGTCCTGCAAACCTGCAACTCAAGTGCCATGTCTTCTGCAGGGACAAACTTTCTGGCTGTTGTTGGCGGCGTGTCGCTTGTATAAATGTTGAACAGAACGGATGTTAAGACGAGGCTTGAAGGAATCAGGCATTTACTGTCTTGGGTGAGGTTATTTGTTTACCGTAGTATACTAGGTATCTCAGGTTGCTTAAGTTAGACATTGAAAGGCACACGATGCTACGAATTCCTTTCGCTTAAAGGTTCCGTTTGTTTCAATGCATTGTCCATTTGTGTGAAACATCTTCAGAAGTCGTGGAATACCTGAACGTGTTTTGGAAGAGATGCTGAAAAAACCACATCGGCGGTCAAGCTACCTGAATATTTCCTTACTGATTGTGGAGTTTGCGAAGAAGATGTGATTTCATATTTGTTGTTCAGAATTTCTTCTCCATTACGGTTGTGACCCTGGCAGACAGGAAAGACTAATC